GGAGCGGCGGCTGGTGAATCAGCTGGCGGCTGCGTTTGAGCAGGAGCTGCTGCCGAAGGGCTGTACGCTGCGTCTGAGCGTCGACGGAGGACAGCAGGAGAAGGACGGAGCTCCGGCTCTGCATCTGGAGGTGGTGGGTGAAGACAGCTCCGCCCGGAAACTGGACATCCGCCCGCCGCTGAACCCTGAGGACGTGACGTACACTCACCGACATCACTGAGACTCGGACAGAATCAGACCAGCACATGCGCTGCAGTGTTTGTCTGGTCATCAATCGCTCACATACACATCCGGTTATTGGCAGAAATGTAAAAATGACGTATGCGGCGTTCTCATCTGCAAACACACCCGTAACGTTAATAACACATAAATCACACATGATGTTTGTAATAAAGAAGATCTCCGTCACGTGTTCAGACGTATAGATGTGTATATTCATTCATGGACGTTACAGTATATAAGAGAAGGTCTTGTGGTGCATGTGATCACTGACGTTCTGTTTTCAGCAGCAGCACGCGTTCATCTGAATTAAAGTGTATTCTATACTTTAAACACTAATGTTTCTTGTTAATATGAACTATAAATGGAGTTAATTCATGTATTGTGAATGATTCATCAGCTTTATTCCAAAGAAAAAACAACACTTCACAATAAGGTTTCATTTGCTATACAATCGTATTCAGTTATATTTTATTTTTATGGCGTGTAATTATGCATTTAAGTACTGAGTAATATTAATTAACTACATGTACTTACTGTATGATTAAGGATGAGGGTTTGATTTAGAGTTAGTTGCATGTAATTATGCTTAATTTTTAGTTATTACTATAGTAAGTATATGTAACGTGAAAATAAAGTATTACTCCGTATTTTTATTAACTAACATTAACAAGGATTAATAAATCAAAAAAATATGTATATTGCTCACTGTTAATTCGTGTTAATAGATTAACTAATGCTAACAAATAAAACCTTTCATAATCTCAAGCACTGTTTCTGTGGCATTGATTCCTCTAATACAGCATAGAGACACTTTCTTCATGGATTTCCTCAAGGAGAAAATAAATCCAGTCCTGCTCTGCATTTTGTCTCAAATATTCAGTTTCGCTTCAGATATGTAAATTGGTTGTGATGTTGTAATTGAAGTGATTAGAGGAGGAACTGCCTTCATCAAATCCTGCAGCGGAGCAGAAACACCTGGAACATAAAGATCTACATCTACGTGTGAGTGAGAGTGTGTGTGTGTGTGAGTGAGTGAGTGAGTGTGTCTGTCTGTCTGTGTGTGAGTGAGAGTGTGTGTGTGAGTGAGTGAGAGAGTGAGTGAGTGAGTGAGTGAGTGTGTCTGTCTGTCTGTGTGTGAGTGAGAGTGTGTGTGTGAGTGAGTGAGAGAGTGAGTGAGTGAGTGAGTGAGTGTGTCTGTCTGTCTGTGTGTGAGTGAGAGTGTGTGTGTGAGTGAGTGAGAGAGTGTGTGTGTGTGTGTGTGTGTGAGTGTGAGTGTGAGAGAGTGTGTGTGTGTGTGTCTGTGTGTCTGTGTGTGAGTGAGTGAGTGAGTGAGTGTGTCTGTCTGTGTGTGAGTGAGAGTGTGTGTGTGTGTGAGTGAGTGAGAGAGTGAGTGAGTGTGTGTCTGTGTGTGTGTGTGTGTGTGAGTGAGTGAGTGAGTGAGTGTGTCTGTCTGTCTGTGTGTGAGTGAGAGTGTGTGTGTGTGTGTGTGTGTGAGAGTGAGTGAGTGAGTGAGTGAGTGTGTCTGTCTGTCTGTGTGTGAGTGAGAGTGTGTGTGTGAGTGAGTGAGAGAGTGAGTGAGTGTGTGTCTGTGTGTGTGTGAGTGAGTGAGTGAGTGTGTCTCTGTGTGTGTATGAGTGTGTGAGAGTGTGTATGAGAGAGAGTGTGTGTGTGTGTGTGTGTGTGTGAGAGAGAGAGATGCAGGAGGAGGAATGCATGACACATTCCTTCTTTTCTCTGCATCCTTCTTTACACATGTAGGGATTCATTCACTTCCTGTGGGGATGAAATTAGCATCGTAAAACAGAACCCTGCTGCCCGCCGGACCTCCCACAACACACACAAACACAGTAAAGCAGTCCTGTGTGTGTGTGTGAGTGTACTGGTTTATATATCCTGGTGGGGACTTAAACCTGAATACACACAGACTCATGGGGACTCGTGTCACGGTGGGGACCTAAATTGTGGTCCCCACGGGTACAAAAGCTTATAAATCACACAGAATGGAGTGTATTGAAAATCTGAAATAGCACAAAGTTTCCTGTGAGGGGTAGGTTTAGGGGTAGGGTTGGTGTAGGACAATAGAATATACGGTCTGTACAGTAGAAAAACCATTACGCCTATGGAGAGTCCCCACAAGGATAGCTGACCAGACGTGTGTGTGTGTGTGTGTGTGTGAGAGTGTGTGTTGCATTTGGCATGATACAAACTTCAGTTCATTCAGTGGTTTTGCAGTATTTTTGATGCAAACGCTGCATTAATGTCAGTCTGTTCATATCAGAATGCATTCACTAGAATCTCTTGGGGAACATGAGCTTGTTTCAGGTTTGTTTTATTATTTATTTTGATTTAATTTTATGTGCCATTTGCTTTTTTTTGGATGAAATCAAAACTCGGACTGAATTGATCTAAATCTTTTAGAGCTGCTTAACACTAAATTACACTGTAACAAGGACACTGTGTAACAAGCGTTCACTTAAAACTGTTTTAAGTGAACGCTTGAGATACACAGAAGTAAAACTGCAAATGTTTACATAATAAAAATAAAAATAAAGCATTAAGAATAAGAAAAATAAAGAAGAGAGGAAAAAACTAAGTTGAAAGATATTGTAGAAGTCTGATGTTTTAGAAGTCTATTTGAGAATAATAGACAGTTGAATTGAGAAGTGAACGAGTGTCAGACAGATGTGTGTTTGAGAAGATGCTGCAGCAGCAGATCTCATGTTACTGACCAAATCTGCTTCAGCCTCTAAAAGAGTCCAATTCAATTATAAACCGAGAGAGAGAGACAGCTTTCATTACTCTGTCTCACACACACACTCTCATGGTAATGCCTGTGTGTGTGTGTGTGTATAATGATGATCCTCTATCAGAGTCTGAACTGATCCAGCACACACACACACACACAGCCGTGAACGTCTCTCGTCCATTAACGTGTGTGTCCGTGTCTTTTAACGGCTGCTGCTCTCTCTTCTCTCTCGTCTCTCTCTTCTGCTCGAGTCTCAGCGGACAAACCTGCAGGAACAGAGAGAATTATTGATTTACCATTTACAGTCCTGTAGCTCTGCATCTGAGAGATGAGAAATTACTCTGAGAGACAGACAGATGCAGCATGTCCCGCTTCTGTGTCTCTCTCTGTCCCAGATAACAGAGGAGCTCTCAACTTTATGAACAAACGTTCTTCCAGTAACGTTCATTCAGAGTTATCTGATCTTTAATCATGTTTGCACAGCGTTAGCACAAAATCATTACTGATACATCATTCATGGCACGTTTTATTTCAAATGTTGCGACTTGTTTCAGAACGTTCAAATGTAACGTTCTCGTAATGTTTGCAAAATGATACAATGTAATGTTCCCTTAACATTTGGATAACCAAGAAAAAAAAAACATTTTTAAAACATCTAAAGAACGTTCAGAGCACATTCAGAAATAACGTTTTCATAACTGATTTTGACAAGCGACAGTTTGATAAATTTGTCAATAGGTTTGATTTATTTTATGTGTAATGTTTGCATGTTGCTTTATATGTGTAAATTCTGTTTGCTTTATCATGCAAATGGAACGCTACAGTTCTAGTATTGTGTTCACACTGCAAACTGCATGACTTTATATAATCACATATAGTTAGGCCTATATAGCAAACGTTGTTCAATGCATTTATCAATGCACAAAGTTGTACACAGCTTCACTAATTCCTCCTTGCATGTTTTATTTTTAAGCGTTCTTGTTTATTGCATGATCGCTGTGGTGCGCATTTGTTCATGCATTCCGTCTACGCTTTTTTGCATCGCTCTCTTAGGCTAATATTTTTACTATGCAAAATCTGTTTAATGAAAGCAAATGCGTAATTACAGCGCGTCTGAGCGCAGATGCGCCGCTGAGTGCGTTAGTGTTTGAGGGCGGATGTGATGTCAGGTGTCTGTTACCTGCTGCTGTTAAAGCGAGAGATGTAACAGAACGCTACTGTTCCCATCATTCACCGTCATATTTCAACAGGAACATCTGTGCGCCACACATGTCCAAAAACAGCACTGGAAACAGACGCGCGCGCTTCTACAGTCTTTGCTCTCAGATGAACGTAAGATGGAAATGAAAGACCCCTAAAAGCGCAAGCAGCTTCTCTTCTGTCTTCTGTCTCTTTTTGAAAGACTAGGGAAAAAATCCATTCTGCCTAATTCAAAGCTTGCTCTGGGACAGCTCGCGTGGCAGATTGCCGGCTAATTAGTTTAGAGGAGAGTGTAATTTGATTAAGTTTGCACAGGTCCCGCGCAGCGCCGGTTGTGTCGGGCTCTGAGCGCGCGGGGCCCCGGAGCCCTGATCTGATTAACGCTCACACACACACAACACAACACACTCCATCAGACACACACACAACACACTCCATCAGACACACACACACACACACACACAACACAACACACTCCATCAGACACACACACAACACACTCCATCAGACACACACACACACACACACACAACACAACACACTCCATCAGACACACACACAACACACTCCATCAGACACACACACACACACACACACAACACAACACACTCCATCAGACACACACACAACACACTCCATCACAATCAGCAACCACCGAATATGATGCTATCTTTGTTGTTTCATAAACATTCGTCAGTAGGAAACTAGTTCTTTTTTCCTATTTGTTTAATATATAAATGTATGTAATCGGCAGAAATTCATCAGAGCTCTATATAGCCTCGGATATTTAAAATACAATGAAGTCCTGTTTGGTTTTGTCTTACGTTTGATATATTTCGTAATATTTACTGTTTTTTTAGACACTTTTGTGACCATTTCAATTAATCGATTCAAAGCGTCCAAAAAAATGATCCTACATTTATATATGTTAGAAAATAGTTTATATGGTAGTTCCAGTTGCGTTATGAATACAAAAATGCATTAGTGAACAGATCGAAAAGTCTGTCTGGATTATTTTCTTGACAATAATAAAACGCAAAAATAATTTTTGGGGCTTTGCAATTTGTTTATGAAAATACTAATTTAATTATTATGAAATTATGTTTATTGCACTCTTAAAAAGGGTTTTTGCAGTGATGCCATAAAAGAACCATTTTTGGTTCCATGTCAGTGATCAGTTCTCAAAACAACCATGTTTGTTTATTAATGTAAGAACATTTTTGAATAATCTAAAGAACCTTTTCTAGTCTGAAGAACCTTGCGCAACCGATGTTAAAGGTTGTTCGTGGAACCAGCGATGCCAATAAAGAACGTTTACTTTTCAGAATGTATTGTTATTATTTATTTAATTATTTATTGCCCGTTTTATGTCTTAACAGAGCTTTAATTAATAATAAATGTATGTCGCATTTGCATTTTGCACGCAACACTTTCCTTCATCCCAAATGCGGGTGTAAATCCGTCCTGAAACTGTTTCTGTTCTTTATTTGCAGAGGGCAATGTGTTCTGGATCAGAAGTCAGACCTGCTCGGTGTCAGGGGTGAGTTTGCTGGAGAACTGAACCTGGTTCACCCGAGTTAACCAGCCGCACACACCCGCTAATCTCTTCAGAGCCCCGCGCTTTCAAATCCGAGTGTTTGTCTTGAAAATGGGCTCTAATCCCGACCCGACCCGGCCAGACCAGCACCTTTAACATTCATTGGCGATTAACGGAAACAGTAACGAGGCTCTTTCTCATTCTTCGCGCTTGTGTAAATAACAGGCGGGGGTCTGAGAGAGATGCTGTGATTGACAGGTCAGCCCGAGCGCTTTTAAATCCTGGCATGCGCGCTGGTGATCGATAGTTACACTAACCAGCGTTTAACATTAGTGCACTTACTGTCCGAGAGGCTCCATTAATTTCTCCATAGTTTTAAAACACTCATATTTTGCTTTGCCATCACACACACACAAAAAAAGGCATTTTCCGAGCACGAAATAAATAAAGAAATGAAAAGCGGAGGGTCTCGTGCTCTCCGGGACTAATTGAATTGTGCTTGGGTTGGGTTGGTTTGGCTGACAGTAATCGCATCCGATGGTCGGGCCATTAAAGCGAGGCGCGCGTCTCCCGGTGACCGATCACTGCTGAATGCAGATTGAGCTAATGAGAGAGAGAGATTGATGAGAGCGAGAGAGGATGAAGGATGAGACGCGACGCGTCTGCGTGACGCATGGCACCGGTGACCCGTCTGAAAGCCGCCGGGCGTGCAGCGGGTGGCACGAGAGAAAGCCACGCATCTTTATGGGTTCCATGCGAATTACCCGCTCGACTAACATGTGCTATTCAGTACAGACAGAACTTTATTTCTTTTGTTTGTCTATTGACAATTCAGATCATTTTTACGGGGCAAAATAAAGTTTATAGGCATGCAGTTCAAATGGATCCATAAAAACAAAACAATACTGTCGTTGGTGCATATTATAAAATTATAATTAATGTATAATATTAATAAATCAGTGCATTATAATAAACAAATGCATTTAAATATTAACTCATCATATTAATTAAATCGTCTTTTATTTTCCATTACAAACTAGGCTACACACAATCTAAAATGCCAATTTTATTAATTCGTTTCTGCTTTCGCGTATTCGTTTTTTCTTTGCTTTATTTCGTTAATATGCATTATATTCTAATATTCGTTCATTTGCATGCCATATTTCACACATGCCATATTTAGTTTGCTTTAAAGAAAGCTTTTAAGGCCTCAGCGCGTGTTCCGTTTGTCTCGAGATGCTGAATCTCGGGGTCCGTGGCGACTTGTTGCAGGCGTGCGTTTCTCGTCAGGTCCCGGTACAGACGTTAATCCGCGCGGGTGATGCGGACGCTGATGGATGGAGTCTGAAAGGCGCGTCAGCTCCGCGCTCCGGGTAACCGGGTTACGGGCGCAGACTCCCGCTGCTCGCAGGGTCAGAAGTCACAAGTCAAACGAGCACCCGAAACGAATCCGTGTTCTTTAAAATGACACGTATGGCTGAAACATGGCGTATTTACATACAAATCAATTTTGTCCCAGAATTTTGCATTTTAAATGTTAATTGTTTTTTGATTAAATATTAACATTTTATAACGAAACAATCTGATAAAGTAAACAAAGATAATGTGGCTATAACAGCATCGATAACATGCGTCTAATTATTTGTATTATTTTAGTTTTGTTGGGGAGGGATTTTTCGTGGGTTCACCACATTTAACTCTCAGATCAAATCATTTCTGGAGATTTCTGGTGTGTAATAGCGACTGACAGCAAACAGATGTGCGTGATCGTGAGCAGCAGGTTTCCATCCAGAGACGCGTGAGTCATTTCTGATGAAACGAAACGAAATTAACGCGTTGAAATCGACGCTGATTAACATTTAATCTGAACTCGCGTTTATTTGAGTTAATTCCGCGTCTTAAAGTCTACATTTGGCCCTCCTGCTCAACTCGAAGGGGTTTCGTGGTCTTAAATAAACGCCATTGTTCCTGCAATCAAATTAAAGCTCATCTCACACTACCAACCAGAGCCACATTAAAGCTGAAACAATCCCACAATTCATTTAGCGCGAGCTAGAATGTGCCCATTTAGCTGCTCTTGAAAACTCGCCCATTCTCGCCTTAATGACATTAGTCTTCATAGCCATTAATAGTCATTTATTTAGAATTATATTTGCGCTGCGCGCGCGAGGCTGATATCTGAATAAACGCACAAAGAGATTCCAAAGCAGCAAATATAAAGGAGCTGAGCGCTGAGGAAAGTGAGGATGAGGAGGAGGAGGATGGAAAGGGTTAACGCGGAGGTGCATTAGAGATGCATGGAGGAGCAGAGGGGAGGAGGCGTTCAGCGCTGAGACATTGTCATGCAAACAGAGACCACCGCCTCGCCATTGTCTCCCGGACACCAACTTTATTATAAACACACCGCGAGCCGCCCGCCGCAGCAGAGCACCGGAACACCGCCACCGAGAGACACGCGCTGGATACCGCGAGAAAACCACGCGTTCCGCTGGAGTTTGACGCCGCAACCGGAGCTTTCGCGTCTCCGTCCGCCCTCCACATGTACAAAATGGATTACTCGTATCTGAACACGTATGACTCGTGCATGGCGGCGATGGAGGCGTCGGCGTACGCGGACTTTAACTCGTGCAGTCAGGCGAACACGTTCCAGTACAACCCGATCCGAACCGGCTTCAGCTCCGGCCCGGGATGCGCTCCGCTCGGTTCCGCCAGCTGCACTCTGGGCGCGCTGAGAGAGCACCAGCCCGCGCCCTACAGCACAGGTAACACACACACACACACACACACCACTAAAATCACACACAATCAGACCAAAACATGTCACAGATGGGGGGGAAAAAGACGCACAAAAGCTCGAAGCGCTTCATAAATACAGTGACTTATTAAATATAACAGGTGTCAAGACGCACCACTGAGCTCCAGAAATCCGTGAACAGGTGATCCAAAACCAAAAAAATCAATTTTTTCTTATTTTAAAATGTAAAGCTCATTTTGAATGATTTAAGGAATAAAATTCGTCTTTAAAATTTGGATAGCCGATGCCCAGTTGCAAATTCAAACTGGAATCCTAGTTAAATGTGACTGCATTTAATAATTTGATGCGCATCAAATTCATTTAAAGTAATTAATTTAATGATGTCCTACAGATCTATAATCAAACAGAGCGTTTATTGGAAATAAACTGTCCCGGCTCATATTTCTGTGCGGTGAATAAATCATTAATTTCACGGAATTCACACAGAAATGACAGATGTCACTTAATTTAAAAGTAAAACATTGTAGTTTAACAGTGGTGTAAATGTTATTTTTATACTTCATGGCACTGATTTTCTAGACGCGCTTCTGCATGAAATGAAGAAAATGAGAGTTTAAAATAAAATATATTTATGAGCAATCTTATAAATAGGAGCTCGTCTTTCTTTCTTCTGCTCTCCTGTTCTGCCCGTCACTGACTGATCTTCGCTCCTCTTTCAGTTCCGTACAAGTTCTTCTCGGACGCGTCGGGTCTGAACGAGAAGCGCAAGCAGCGGCGGATCCGCACGACCTTCACGAGCTCGCAGCTGAAGGAGCTGGACCGCGTGTTCGCCGAGACGCATTACCCGGACATCTACACGCGTGAGGAGCTCGCGCTGAAGATCGACCTGACCGAGGCACGCGTCCAGGTGAGGCCGCACGCGCGGAACTGACTTTCAGGGGCGTTGTCACTTTTATACGGACATACTTTTGAGACCCGTATAAAAACATAACAAACTAAATAGAATCTTGGCTGATTTGAATATATGCGTCTCGCTTTTTTTTGTGCCTCCAGCGCTGTTCGCAGACGCTTCCAAATCTCATGAATTCAGCTAATTTTATTAGATTGATTTATAGCAGCTGCATTCAGCCTGCGCATTTAAAAATAAAGAGGCTTTTCGTTCTCAGCGATGCCACAGAAGAAGCATTCCTGAAAAGCGACCAGTTCTTAAAAGCAGCATTTTTTTTCTCCATAAAATCGTTTTTTTATTTTTGTGGAATGGAAAGGTTTCACGCTCTCAGAAATAAAGGCTCTTTATTGGCTTCAGCCTTCGACGTCCTCGGAGCCACTGAAGTCATGACTAATGGAGACACATGTAATGCAGTTAGAAGAGCTGTAACCAAATATTCGCTACTGATTAATGATCCATTCCTGAATGGCCAATCTAATCTTGAATATTAGTATTCTTAATAATGTTTTTTACTCGCCAAAGATATAGATTTAGTCAGGAACAACCTTTCAGTTTCTTTCAAAAGAGGTTTTTGGTGAAAAATCTAAATGGTTCTTCTATATAAAAAAAAAAAGCCTGTTTTTGGTGCACGCCGTCACTCTTCCTCACCATTTTTTTCTTAGTATGGAGATGATTTTAATAATCTTTTCCCACTATAAAGACTCTCTTGTGGAATATAAAGGTTCCACACTCTTAAAAATAAAAGTTCTTGATGGTTGAGATGAAGAACCTTTAATATCAGAGGAAGCTTTCCATTGCACAAAAGTTCCTTAATTGTGGAAATATGTTCTTAAAATGTTCTTCACACTAAGAAAAAATGGTTCTTTTATGGCATCAATATTAGAACCCATTTTCGTAAACGTTATTTTGAAGAGTCTGCAGTGGAACAACACTAAAAGGCGTTTTTGGTTTCCCAGAGAACCTTTCGGTGATCAGTTCCTAAAAGAACCATTTTCTCCGATGTGTGAAGAATCTAAAGAACCTTTTCCGCAATAAAGAACTTTTTGTGCATTAAAAGGTTCCACGGATGTTAAAGGTTCTTCAATTTTTTTGCACCCTCAGATTCCAGATTTTCAAATAGTTGTATCTCAGCCAAATATTGTCTTATCCTAACAAACCATACATCAATGGAAAGATGCATAAATGCATAAATCTCAATTTTGAAAAATTGACCCTCAAGACTGGTTTTGTGCTCCAGGGTCACAAATGTATCTAAGGAGGAACCCAAAATGATGGTTTGCTGTAGATGTACATGCTCATGCTCGTCACTCTTCCTCAGGTTTGGTTCCAGAACCGACGCGCCAAATTCCGTAAGCAAGAACGCGCCACCAACTCCAAAGGAGCTAACGCCGGTGCCAACGGCTCCAGTGCCAAGAAGTCTGGCGAGAACCGCTCTTCCTCCGAGGATGACGAGTCTAAAGAGTCGACCTGCAGCCCGACGCCTGACAGCACGGCGAACATGGGCAGCCCCGGGGCCAGCAGCCTCAGCCCCAGCCCGGTCTCGGGCTCCTCGGCCGGCTTCACCAACGCCTCCATCTCCCCCTCCATCCACCAGGGCCTCAAGAGCTCGCCGTGGCCCAGCATGGGCTCCGCCGGGCCGGCCCTCCAGACCCAGGACCTGCTGAAGGCCTGGCAGCCGGCGGACAGTATGGCGTCTGGGCCGTTCGCGGGCGTTCTGTCCTCGTTCCACCGGAAACCCAACACAATCAAGACCAACCTGTTCTAGAGACTCCGCTTCGTGCGTCTCCGTCGCTCATCTACTGCTAGTTCTGTTCTGTCCATTGATTTGCGTAGAGCTGGACTCCTGATGGTTCGTTTATTGTCATGTTGGCGCTTGTGATGTGTGTGTGTTTGTGTTTATTCAGGTCTTGTTTTCCTCTTTATGGAGGGTCTGAATGCTGCAGAGACGCCTTAATCAACATCCCTTGAATCGTCAGTAAACGAGTTCTTAATTTCCTCTTAAACGAAGGTCCAGAAACGTTTGTCCTTTCGCAGGAGCTTCAGAACCAGAAATCAGTTCAGGTCTTCAGGACGAGACGATGAATGAGAACGAACTGTGATGCGATTAGACGAGCTGCAACCAAATATTCACAGCAGATTATGGGTTTATTAAGGATCCGTTTCTGAATGACCAATGTAATATTCCAGATTGTCCGTTTTTATTCTTCAAGAACTAAACGTCCAAGAGTTTCCGGGAGAATTTAAGGATTCGGGATCAGAATGATGTTGAACTTGTGTCTTGTTGATGAATTTCTCACGCGGTTCTTCACTGAAGCTGTTTGAAGATGTATGTGTGTGTGTGTGTGTGTGAGAGAGAGAGTGTGCCAGCCCTATTTTATTTATAATGAAATATACTAATTTGACAATAATTCTAATAATAAATAATGAAAAATATTAATAATAAAACAATTATATATATATATTGTGTGTGTGTGTGTGTGTGTATTGTGTGTGTGAGTCTGTGTGTGTGTGTATGTGTGAGTGTATGTGTGTGTGAGTGTATGTGTGTGTATTGTGTGTGTGAGTCTGTGTGTGTGTGTATGTGTGAGTGTATGTGTGTGTGAGTGTATGTGTGTGTATTGTGTGTGTGAGTCTGTGTGTGTGTGTATGTGTGAGTGTATGTGTGTGTGAGTGTATGTGTGTGTATTGTGTGTGTGAGTCTGTGTGTGTGTGTATGTGTGAGTGTATGTGTGTGTGTGTGTATAGTGTGTGTGTGTATTGTGTGTGTGAGTCTGTGTGTGTATGTGTGAGTGTGTGTATTGTGTGTGTGAGTCTGTGTGTGTGTGTATGTGTGAGTGTATGTGTGTGTGAGTGTATGTGTGTGTATTGTGTGTGTGAGTCTGTGTGTGTGTGTGTGTGTGTGTGTG